AAAATAATAATAATAATAATTTGAAAATTTTTGTCTATAATATGGACCAGTGATATGAACAATAATGAATTTTCATAACAAACAATGGGGTCTAAATGTAACAGAAGGCCCTCAACTCTCAAGAGGAACAAACTAAGTTTTAAAAAAACTAACAACAAAAGCACAATCCTTGAAGCAACAAAAGAAAAACTAAAAAAAAAAAAAAAAAAGGACTTCAAAATAAAAACCTACTAAACTTCAAAATGCACAGCCACAGACAGAGAAATATTTGGGGCTGGGCACGGTGGCTTATGCCTGTAGTCCCAGCACTTTCAGAGGCCACGGCAGGAGGATAGCTTGGGACCAGGAGTTTGAAACCAGCCTGCACAGCACAGTGAGACCCTGTGTCTACACAACTTTTTTTTCAAGTTAGGTAGGTGTGGTGGCAAACGCCTGTGGTCCCAGCTCCTCGGAAACAGAGGCTGCAGTAAACTGTGATCACGCCACTATACTCCAGCCTGGGCAGAGCAAGTCCCTGTCTCAAAAAATAAAACAATAAATAAAAAACATTCGGAAATCATATATGTGAGAAAGAACTTGATCCAGAATATGCAAAGAAATCCTGCAACCCTATAGGACCCAAATAATTTAAAAATAGGTAAAACATTTGACTAGACATTTCACAAAAGAAAATACACAAATGGCTAGTTAGCACACAAAAAGATGTTTAAAATCATCGGTCATTAGGGAAATGCAAATCAAACCTACAACGAACTACTACTCTATACCCACTAGAACCTAAGTAGATACTCAAGAGAAATGAAAATACGTGTCCACGTAAAAAACATGTAGATGAATCTTTACAGCAGCATTATTCATAACAGCCAAAAAGTCCAAACTACCCTAATGTCCACCAACTAATGAATGGGCAGTGTTGCATCTATGATGGAATATTCCTCAGCCGAAACAAGAAATGAGGTACTGATGCCTCTTACAACACTGATGCCATGATCATAAACCTTACCTTGAAAACATTATACTAAGTGAAAGAAATCAGTCACATAAGGCCACGTTTTACACGAGTGCATTTACAGGAAATGTCCAGAAAGGACAAATCCATAAACAGGAGACAGATTAGTGGTGGGCTGGCGGTGGAAATCATGACTGACTACAAATGAGGAAAAAGGCTTTGGGGTGATAAACATGTTCTAAAACTGAACTGTGGTGATGGTTTTACAATTTCACAAATTTTCTAAAAAATTACTGAATTGATAAATTTTCAAAGGTTTTTCTTTTAAAATGCTTGTATTTATTCTAATCTATTTGAAATGTGAAAACCAAATCTTTTAAGAAAATAGAAAATTTTCAAAACTGAATGCAGCACCACAACAACAGTCCTGGATGGAAGCTCAAGGGCTGGCTCTCCCTCACGCATCCCATGGGCCGAGTGCCCCTCATCTGGAATGCGTGGGACCAGACGTCTTTCAGATTTCAGATTTTTTAGGATTTTTGAGTATTTTCATAGATATATCAAGCTATCTTGAGGATGGCACCCAAAGCTAAACATAAAATTCACTTGTTTCATATACCTTATCTGCATAGCCTGAGGTAATTTTATCCAACGTTCGAATAATTTTGTGCATGAAACAAAGGTTGTATACACTAACTCCTTAGAAAACACGGTGTTGCTACGTCAGCCACCCATGTGAACACTGTGGCTATTTGGCATCACTATCATTCTTGATGAAATTTATATGCTACTGACAAGCAATCATTTTCTTACACCTATTCACACAGAGGAACTTAACAATAAAAATATAAGACACACCATTATTAATAGTGAAAAAATAACATTCAAACTAAGCACAGTTGCACCACCAGAACACCGGTATCAGCTGTTAAAGAGCAACAATGGCAGGCCTTCATGTCTGCTGCATTAGGACTTACAATGCTGTTTTGATTAAAAAGTTATTGTAGGCCGGGCGCGGTGGCTCACGCCTGTAATCCCAGCACTTTGGGAGGCCGAGGCGGGTGGATTACGAGGTCAAGAGATCGAGACCATCCTGGTCAACATGGTGAAACCCCGTCTCTACTAAAAATACAAAAAAAATTAGCTGGGCATGGTGGCGCGTGCCTGTAATCCCAGCTACTCAGGAGGCTGAGGCAGGAGAATTGCCTGGACCCAGGAGGCGGAGGTTGCGGTGAGCCGAGATCGCGTCATTGCACTCCAGCCTGCGGAACAAGAGCGAAACTTCGTCTCAAAAA